CGGCGGACATCGGTGATTGCCCAAAGTGCGCTTTCGCGTTGTGTGATACTCAACAGCAATGCCGCTACTTTGATACATCTCAAGAGCACCAAAGGCCACGCAGTAGTGGCGATACTTCCCGGTCTCATCCAACTTGTTAAGCTTCCTCGAACACCGCGGATGATTTGAAGCCAGTAGGAGTCATCTTCTGTCACGCTAGAACCAGAAAGGGTCTTTGTGTATGTCGACGTGATCCGGACCTCGTCCTTACGTATCTACCTGTCTCATCTATAGAAAAGTCCGGATGCAGTCATTGCGAGTCAGCGTGTCACATCCAGCAGGGCGACTTGGGCTGTGAGAGCTGGGGTTTGGGTGTCGCACGAGCCTAGGGCTAAGTTGTGAACATGCCGAAAGGGAACGCCGAGCAACATGACAGGTTGGAAGCACGCAACAAGCCTCTTCATACAAGCGCATAACATGCTCAGAACACATACAAACACAAAGAGACATGATTGAACAAATACATGCATGCACAAACAAACATGTACAGGATTCGGCACATAAGTATGTGCAGTACATACTAATCCATCCATCTGTCCGTCCGTCCGTCCAGCCGGCCAGCCAGCCAGCCATTCATCCATGCTTCCATTCTTCCATCCGTCCCTCCATCCAGTCATCCATCCATACAGACAGACTTACTACAAACTCACATACGCACACATATACATATACATATACATATACATATACATATACATATACATATACATACACATATACATACACATATACATATACATATACATGTACGTATACACATACATATGCATAGACAGTATGCACAGTATACATGTACCTTTGCATTCACACGTAGATGTATGTATACATTGTCTTCTTTAAACCCAGTCTTTGAAACAACAACCGCATCACCTGCTAAACCCAACATAAGCAAGAACATCTTGAATGTTCACTCCAAACCTCAAAACACCCTCGGCCCGAAAACCCTAAAGCCCTAACCCCTTAACCCCTTAACCCCAAACACTAAAACTTTGAACCCCTAAACCCACAAAAACCCTAACACTCAACCCCGAACCCTACATCCCCTAAACGCTAAACCCTAGACCACAAACCCTGATTAACCCTTCACGAAGGAACCCCCAGCCCTTAAAGGAACCCCGAAATATGATCTTCATACCTTTCAGTAGCAGGCCCATGAACTGTTCGAAAAATCTCAGACCCGTCTAGGACCCTTATGAGGACCCTCGCAGGAACCCTCAAATGAGTCGTTTAAGGTTTAGGGCTTAGGGTTTAGATATAGGATTTGTTATTCAGCCCTCGCAGGACCCTGAAATGGGAATCCTCAGTTCAATCCGGGGCGGCTTGAAAATTTGGTGAATTTCATGGTGTAGTCTCTAGGGTTTTTGTACATACAGGCCCTAAACCCTAAACCATAGAGGAACCGCCCTCTAAAACTCAGACTTGAAACAGCCCCCTCCAAACCCTAAACCCTCAAACCCTTGACCTTAGTCAACCCACTCAAAACCCTAAACCGCTATAAAACCCCCATACCCTCAACCCGGCACCCTCACACCCCAGACCTTGAACAGCCCTCCCTCAAAGTGTAAACCTTAAATAGCACCTTCAAAACTGCAAACCCGCAAGCCCTAGACCTTAAACACCTCCCCTCCAAGCACTAAACCCGCAAACCTTGGACCTCAAACAGCCCCCTCAAAACCCCAAACCAGCAAGTCTTAGATTTAAACAGCCCCCTGCAAACCCTCAAACTCTCAAGCCCTGGACCTTAAACAGCCCCTCCCCGAAGCTCTAAGCGATAAACAGCCCCCTCAAAATCCAAGCCCTAGACCTTAAACAGCCCCCTCCAAACCCCAAACCCTCAAACTCTGGACTTTAAACAGCCCCCTCAAAACCCTAAACCTTTGCACCCTAGGCCCCCTAAACAGCCCACTCCAGACCCTAAACCCTTAAACCCTGCACCTTTTTCAAATCCCTCAAAGCTCAAACACTATTTTTCTTTTGTCTTCAGCCCTGAACCCTAAGCCCAGACCCTCACCCTAAACCCCTAATCCCTGAACCCTAAACCCCATAGAACCCTGCAGTACACGTTGAAAGGAACCCTAAACCCTTAACCCCTAATCCCTGAACCCAATACCCCTGAACCTTAAAACCCTTCACTTTCGATCAAGAGACTGCGAGGCCCTGCGGGAGCGTGGTGATCTCTGCAGTGACCTCCTAAAGGCCATCTGCATGCGTGTGCATATATACATATATGTATATATACAGTATACACATATATATATATATATATATATATGTATGTATGTATATATATACACTCACATATATATGTGTGTGGGCGTGTGTACATCTACATCTACATCTACATGTACATATATATATATATATATATATATATATATGTTTATATACATATACATACATTGGTTAAGCAAGGTTCAGCATGGTTCAACAACAGTCTATCAACAGTGAGCGCTGCCTCGCAGGTAGATTTTGGTCAGATGTATTTAGCGCCCACGGTTCCAGGCGTGGAACTATAGCTTTCAGTTCAGGGTTCACACACATACATACTTAGTAGTCGAGTAGGCAACCTGTAACCTTTTTGGGGGTAGTAGAGTCCCTATGTAGTCCCTAGATAACCCCATGATATCCGACAAGTAGGCATAAGTATTTAAGTACTTGCTCGATATGCACACATGCATGTACCTAGGCTTCTTGGGTTGACGGTTCAGGGTTGGTATTTCGTCCATACATCTATACATGTGTGTGTGTATATATATATATATATATGTAGTGGTGGCTTCCAGATATTACTGTTGTGGTTTACATGCGGTGTTGTCTTGCGAGCAGTTTTTTATTGGGCAGTTATGGCCTTCATGTCTATGGGGCCTGTATGGGCTTTGCAACAGACTTCGTTTATAGTTTAGGTACGGCCCCCACTCAGCAATAGTTGAACCTTATTCATAATATAGATATAGTAGGACCTTAATAGTAGCCCTATTATAGACTCTTACTGTATGCGGTCCGTACCTAATTTATAGTAATGTTTCTGGTTGACTTTCGTGCAAGATTTTGTGTGTGTGTGTGTGCGGGAGCTTGGCACCCAATGCCGAAAACGATCTGGGTTTAGGGTTTACCTTAACCCTGAATAACCTACCTTTTAGGATTCCTTATTATGATTTCTTTGTATAAGTCCCTAAAAAAGTAAGTTCTTCCGGGTTAAGGTAGGGTTTAGTAATTGAGGACTTAGATTGGCATATCGGGTGTGAGCCAAACCTGATGGACTCCCTGACCACGGAGATGGACTTGACATTTGCACTCACTTCAGGGCTCATGGGACCTAGTAAGTCGGGGAAAAAGTTGGGGTTTTCAAGTGCAAAAGGTTATCCTAATTATAACCTGACTTATAACCTTACGTAGAACCTTTTACATACTCAGTTCCGTGAGCTTTTAAGTACACGAGTTTAAGACCACCAAGGAGACGGTGAAGAACACCCTAAACCCTAAACCTCAAACACACCAGGACGGCTGGACTAATCCTTGGGTACTTAGTTTTTTTTAATTTTTGGTTATTCTAATCCCTAAGAAACAGCTAAAATTTTAATTTCTGCTAGGTTCTAAGTTCAGTATAGGTACCCTTATTCCCTTTTTGTAGTCTTAGGTTCCTTATACAGTTACCCAATACCAAAAGGGGAGCCGTTTGTATTCCTGGTTACTGGGCATCCTAGGTCCCGCTCACTGCCCGAGGGTCCTGGTTTGCACCATAGTATGCCCCGAACCCCATAGTAACTATTAGAACCCCTAAGCCCTCAAAACCCTAAACCGAAACCAGGACGCGTCCTTCCCGATAGGAGCGTCCCCTCAGTTAGCAAGCGCTGCACTGGCTCATCATCTTTCTTACGGGAACCCGCTTTTGCGGGACGAATTCCAAGTGGCTGAGGCTGGATCTACGGTGTCGTCAGGTTTATTCGAAATGGCTTCATGCCATTTCGCGTCCTGGAGGCGGGCCAGAACCCGGATGTAGAATCCGTGGAGCAGCTACAAGGCAGCAACGACTGGCTGCCACAGGACTTGGTGAAAGCACCACGAATCTTTCAAGTGAAAGCGTCGTCACAGAAGAAACAGTTCAATATTTCAAGCGAAAGGGCCGTCGAGCGAGGAATCTGCAGCACATGGCCCACCTCAACACCAAGAAGTCGGCCCTACGCCTCAACCAGGGAATCTTGCTGAAATCATAGTATGAATGCATCCCGTTCGTTAGAATGTAAGATATCCTCCGCAATTAGCTAGGATGCCTAGTAGTACCCTTATTCCCTTTTTGTAGTCCTAGGTTCCTTATAAAGTTACCCAATACCAAAAAGAGAGGCCTTTTTGTTCTTAGGTTACTGGGTATCCTAGATTAGTGATTATTGGGATTTCTGGGAATGTTTTTGATTCAGCGAGTTGGCAATTCATGCCCCAGTCCCACATCCTAAGTGCCTGCTTGGGGGATGCTTACCTTTTCCAAATTCCTACTATAGAATACGTACTTTCGACGATGTACCCTAAACCCTATAAATCCTAAACCCTAAACTACCCTAAGCCCTAGAAACCCTAAACCCTACTTTCGACGATGTGAGCCTTAAGCTAAACCATCAAACGATCCTCCCGGGTTTCGGGTTTCGCGTTGGGGTTTCCGGTTTGGGTGTAGAACCTGGCGTATCGCAGCATCACAGCTAAGGTTCTGAGTTGCGTCCGTAGCGTGCGCATTGCATGAGGCGTGGTTCTGTGTCTGCATTCTTGCGGATGTGTATGTCAACCATGTTGTTTGAAGTTGTTGGTGTAACGCTCATGCTTTAGTTGCTCTATCGTATGCTTACACCATCAAACCAATGATAAGCCTCAACATTGCCAGTTGTTCGTAGGATTCCTCTTATGAGTGCTCCGAGACACCCTCTGCGCCCGTCGTGACTAGTCCTCTTCTTATAGGGGCTAAGTAGGTAACCTTCAACCTTGTGGGGCTTATATAATCCTACTATACTTCAAGGGGGTAAACCTTTTTCGGGCTAGGGTATGCAGCCGCTAAACCTTAGCCTTAAACCGTAAACCAGCAACCAACCCTGAACCCTCTTTTGGGCAAGGGTGCTCAAACCCTATAAACCCTAAACCCTAAACCCTAAACCCTAAACCCAGCCCATAAGCCTTTATCAGCCCCTGAGCTTTCTCGCGGCAGGTGCTCTGGCAAGACGAACGGTTTCAGGGGCACGAGACCGTCTTGCACCTCGGTACCATCGGCCTCGAACCTCAACCCTTGACACCGCTTTTTGGGTTGATGGTGATGTTCAGGGTTTAGGGTTACAGTTTTAGGGTTTAGGTTCAGGGTTACCACCCTCCCGTCCCAAAAACCAGCGATAATGACTCATGGAATGGTGTTCAATGCGGTACTACCAACAGACCAGACCACGCGGCATCAGAAGCTTTGAAGCCCCCAAGTCCCAAATCAGAATGCAGCGCTGGTTTCGGGATTAGTCGGGTTACTCGTTTCTTTCCACGAAATTTAGTTGATCTAGGAACCTGATGAAGGAATCCTGGGTCTTTATTGGGGTTGGAGTTTAAGGGTTTTGGGCATACCTGGAGCCCCCCCACTGAACTTTATTGTAGTCCCTAATTACCTCTTAATGTTGGGTACGGCCCCCACTCAGTAATAGTAGAAAATTATTCATAATATAGGTATAGTAGGACCTTAGTAGTAACCCTATTATAGACTCTTACTGTATGGGGGCCGCACCTAATCTTAATGAGAAGTATCAGAGCCCTTAAAAGGGTACTTGGGGGGGGGGGGTCCTGGGATGAATCCTAGTGTGGCCTGGGTTTTGAATACCGTACTTGAATACTTTTTTTGGGGGTACCTGTTCCTTAAAGGAACCATTATGAAATAAAAGCCTATACTCTTTTCTCCTTGCTTACTTCAAGGTCCAGGTACTTAGAGGATCATGGGACTTAGTGAGTAGGTTATAACTGGGGTTATAAGTCCCCTAACTGGGGTTATCCTAATTATAACCTACTTATAACCTTACTTACTAAGTCCCATGAGCCTTCAAGCAGGATTTAGTTTAGGGTTTAATGGTTAAGGGATTAGGGTTTAGGATTTGGGGGTTTAGTTAGGGGTTTGGGATTTAAAGCTTAGGGGTTTACTTCAAGGTCCAGGTAGTGGAGGATTTCTGGTTCTGGTCGGCAGAGGCCTGCCCAGCAACCAAAAGACGAGTGTCAGCTTCGGGAGTTCCGGGGTTTGGGGGTTTAGGGTTCAGGGTTTTGGGGGTTTAGGGTTTAGGGTTTTGGGGGTTTAGGGTTGAGGGTTTTGGGGGTTTAGGGTTTAGGGTTTTGGGGGTTTAGGGTTTAGGGTGTTGGGGGTTTAGGGTTTTGGGGGTTTAGGGTTGAGGGCTTTGGGGGTTTAGGGTTTAGGGTTTTGGGGGTTTAGGGTTTAGGGTTTTGGGGGTTTAGGGTTTAGAGTGTAGTGGTTAGTTTAAATGACCTGGAGGGCCAGCTCAGACAAGTAATGCTAGGTTCCGCAGCAGTACCCTTCTACTGAAATTCTGGGGTCTCCTTGTTGAGGAAGAAGCTACCCTCGTGGATACAGGGGAACCGAGACTGTCCAGAGTAACTGGATCTTCCCTTACAGACCCTAAACCCTTAATCTTTAACCCTAAACATAAATTGAAAAGGATATTTGGGCCGGGGTATTCAGCCCCTAAGAAACCCTGAGTGAGGCTAAACCCTGAACCCTAGACCCTAAACCTTAAATCCCAAACCCCTAACTAAACGCCCAAACCCTAAACCCTAATCCCTTAACCATTAAACCCTAAACTAAATCCTGCTTGAAGGCTCATGGGACTTAGTAAGTCAGGTTGTAAGTAGGTTATAATCAGGATAACCTCACTTAAGGGACTTATAACCCCAATTATAACCTACTTACTAAGTCCCATGATCCTTTAAGTAAACTAAATCCTGAGTGAGGCAAGCCTTCCTTGAGCATTTCGACCTCCTGGTCCCCGGCTCGGGCAAGGCGCCTCTGGCTGGGAGACTCCGGGCATCAAAGGGGAAAAGGAGGGACCCTTAATGGGGACCCCTACCCTCTAATGGGCTATATACTGGGTATATAATAGCTAGATTAAGGGTATATACCTAGGGGTCCTTATTAAGGGTCCCTCCTTTTACCCTTGGAGGGTAGGGAGCCAGGATAATTACAGGGCTCCAAAGATTTATGTAGAATTCTATAGAGATTATATGTAGATACATACATATGGGTTCTGTATCTTTAAGGGTTTGTAGGGTTGTAGGGTTGAGGAGGTTTTGTTCGGCGCTTGTAGGAATTTTACACGATTTGCTTTAGGGCTGTAGGGCTCCATTCGGTTGGCTTTATTGGTTTAGGTTTTGTGTCTTGTGCATGCAGGGATCGTACATATGTACATGGGGTTTCGGTTTAGTGTTTGAGGGTTCAGGGTATTAGAGCTCGGGGTTTTGTTTTAGGTCTTTAGGGCTCTAGGATTTAAACATAGGGTTTGTGGTTTCCTTGCAATGCACTGCGCACTGTCGGGATTTTGGGTTTTTGGCTGAATTGCACTTCACATTTGCTAACTTCATCAACTCCGTGAGCAAGGGCGACAAAGCACTAGTTTAACCCCTAAACCTTAGGACGACACATCACACCTCAGAAGAGGACATCACACCTAAACCCTAAATCCTAAACCCTAAAGCCCTAAACCTTAAATCCTAATCCCTAAAAACCTAAAACCCTAAAACCTTAAAACCCGAAACCCTAAACCCCCCAAAACCCTAAATCCCTAAAACCCCAAACCCTAAACCCTAAAACCCCACAACCCTAAAACCCCAAAACCCTAAAACCCTAAACCCCCAAAACCCTAAAACGCCAAACCCCAAAACCCTAAACCCTACAACCCTAAACCCTAAAACCCCCAAAACCCTAAACCCTAAACCCCCAAAACCCTAAAACCCTAAAACCCAAAACCCTAAAGTCGGAAAAGGGCCCACAAAAAAAAAAAAAAAAAACTAAACCCTAAAAGAAGAGTTCAGGCTGCATGGTTGGTGCCGAGCCTCCTCCCGCGACGGCCAGAGACGACTGTGGCCCGCAGCACGCCGGAGGCGGGCCAAGGGGTTCAGGGTTAAGGGGTTTGGGGCTTAGGGGTTTAGGGCTTAGTGGTTTAGGGGTCCGGAAACCCTCCGTCAATCTAGGTGGGTTCCTTTGAGGCTTGCTTTTAGGGTTCCTTTAAGGCTTCCTTTTAGGGATCCTTCAAAGATTCCCAGCAAACCAAAGAGTCTAAGCCCGGTTCAGAGGCACCTCAATAGAGCTATACACAGAGGATCATGAAACTTGGTAAGTAGGGGTCCTTAAACGGCTCCTTTAAAAGATCTCTAATGGTTCTATGAGGGTTGGGGGTGTTTAAGTTACTTACCGGATCATGAGACTTAGTAAGTAGGTTATAATTGGTGTTATAAGTCTCCTAAACGGGATTATTCTAATCATAACCTGCTTATAAGCTGTCACATGAGCCTTTAAATAGGGTCCCGCAATTTCCTTTAGAGATCCCCTGGTAGTAACCCTTATAGCCCCTTTAAAGGAACCCTATATGGGAGTTTCCGAAAAAAGGGAACCCTAATATAGTACAATCCTAAACCCTAAAGCCCTAAACCCTAACCCCTAAACCCTAAACCCTAAACCCTAAAGCCCTAAACCCTAAACCCTAAAGCCCTAAAGCCCTAAAGCCCTAAACCCTAAACCCTAACCCCTAACCCCTAAGCCCTAAACCGCGCAATGCGAGGTCGTCTTCGTGCTGGACTTCAAAGGGGCCTTCAGGCGCCTTCTTTCCACGCTGATTCCGAGGCGGGGAGCCTTAAGGACGAAATGTGCCCTAAGGGTTTAGGATTCATTTTGGAGTTCTTTTTCAAGGGTTCCTATAAGGGCTAGTATGGGTGTTGTAGGTTTTATGGTTTAAGGACGAAATGAGCCCTAGAAGGGTTTAGGATTCATTTTGGGGTTCCTTTTAAAGGGTTCCTAGAGGGCTATTATGGGCTTTTGTAGGTTTCGGGGCTTAAGGACGAAATGAGCCCTAAAAGGGTTTAAGGTTCACATACCATATAGGGATTCATAGTATATGGGTATAGGGCCCCTACTTTTCAGGGTCATTTGGTCCTTCAGGGAAGGCTGCAGGGCTTGGAGCGGGCAGGGTTTTGGGGAATAAGGGCTGTTTAGGGTCCAGGGTTTCGGGGATAAGGGCTTTAGGTGTAGGATTTAGCGGGTAGTTTAGGGTTTAGGGTGTCTGGAATCGGTTTACAAAATTAGTGTAGGGTTTTAGGATTTAGCGTTTGGTCCATGGGAAGGAGCTGTAGCTTGCAGCCCCGGAAAAAGGGGACGTCAACGCGAAAGCAATGTCCCGCCATGACGTAATAAGCAGGTAGAAGACTTCGGAAGAACGCACCCAGAAAGCCCATTTCCACCTAATTCAGGAATATACTTGAAATCGGGATTGTGAGCCGCTTAATAATTTGACTAAGGTATATTCCTTAGCTTAGGGCCTTAGGTGTTTGGGGCTCTCTGGGCAGGAGGGCACCAACAGGGGCCACCACTCCTGGCACTGTCTCAGTCGAGCGATAGCAAAACACAAGCAAGGTGCGGAGTAGGAGGGTTTCCGGTTTTGTCTACCTTAACCTACCAACACCTACTTTTAGGGTCCCTGTAACTTCCACATTAGGGGTTATAATATAGACCTGTAAAACAGGCGGGTTTGGTAGTTTAAGGTAGGGTGTAGGGCAAGGTTAGGGTTTAGAGGACTCGGGTTGCGGGTTCGGGCTTTGGTATACGGTTGGGTTGAGGGTTTCGGGTTCAGGGGGAGCTCCTGCAGCAGAGGGAGAGGGCGGTTCTGCGTCGCTGGTCAGGCATCGGGACGCAGATGTCACCTCCGTAGCAAAGTCAATTGGAGCTTTCAAGAGGGCCTTCAATACGGGTTGTATAAGATGTCTACCTGAAGGACCAAATGAGCCTTTAAAGTAGGGGCCCTATACCCATATACTATGAACCCCTATATGGTATGTGAACCTTAAACCCTTTTAGGGCTCATTTCGTCCTTAAGAGGCGGTCATCTTCATTTGGAAGCCTTTCGAGCGAAGGAAGGGGAGGCCATCAGAAAACAAGAACCCCAAAACCCAAACCTTCCTTAAACTACCAAACCCTACCTTTTTGTAGGTTCTTATAATGAGCCCTAACATGGGGTTTATAGGTACCCTACAAAAAACTACCCTTACAGTAACCCCGGCAGTAAGCCTTAAGAGGTGTACCAAACGGCGCCCTTAAAGATACCCTACCTCAACGTTATAAGTTTAGTACAATTGGCCCAAAAACCTTACTTCTAATTGTTAGGGCGCCTATACTATAGAACCCTACAGCAGATCCCTTGTAGTAACCCTTATATAGAGCCGTTTAAAGGAGCACTTTTTGAATTATTAAGGCCCCTAATATAAACCCTAAGCATCCGCCAAACAGAGCCTGTCCGAGACTCCTTTGCCAACTGCGCAAGCGCTATGCCCACGTCCTCAGCACAAGCTTCTTGAGGGTTTCTGGGGTTTAGGGCTTAGGGGTTTAAGGGTGTGGGGTCCTGTAGCATTTAGAGCTGAGGGATTCAATTACGGCTGTCAGGGCGTGAGTAGAAAAACTCTTCATAGGTGTTCGTTTCTACCGACACGCGTCTCCTAAACTCTGCCCTTCTTCGAGATTCGAGGAGTCCCCCTGTGAAGACCCATGCCCCTGCATCAAACTGTCAACCAAGCCCCTGCCCGCCCGCCTCAAAGGCAAGATATCCTGAATGCGAAACCTCCCTAAACCCGGGTTCTTGAAAGCTTCAGCTTTTTCGTTTTGGATTTGGGGCCTGAAAGCCCTAAACCCTAAACCCTAAAACCCTAAACCCTAAAGCGGCCCATACAGCCCAAAGGCTCCTAAACCCTACACCGACCTGAAACCCTCAAATTTCCAAGAATTCACCCCTGAACCGACCCAATCCAAAAGCCCTAACTCGATACCAAAAGCCCTAAACTCGAATGCTGAGGGCACAAACTTCCAAGTTTTCGAAGCCTACGGCGACTTCGCTCAGCTTTTGCCTCTCGCCTCATATGTGTGACGTTCTGGGGATTAATGGCTTTAGGGTTGAGGGTTTAGTGTTCCTTCCAGGGCTGTAGAGGCATTCTATCTTACACTCAATCCGACGTGAGTGTAAACAGGGAAAATTGATGAGTGTATATGCTGGCCGTTATTTGGCGATGCCGGTAATAGTACCGACTCTGCTTCATCCAGTTAAAGGCTTGTGGGCCATAAGGCCTAGTAGTAGAGCAGGTAACCTTTAATTTAATCTTTTTTGGGTAGTATACCCCCTATATAATCCCTACATAAACAAAAAGGTTAACCTTTAGTTCCCCATGATACCCGACAAGAAGGAAGGGCTTGTGGGCCACAAGATTGGGGCATTAGGGCTTTGGGGTCTGAGGCTTCCAGGGCCTCGTGGCAGTAATATGACAAGATCTGAATAACTAACTAAAGTATCCCGGTATGGTTTTTATTACATATAGAAGAGACTGATACAAAATCCCAAAAATTACTCATAGTGATGAAGGCGTCCATATTAGGTTATTGGGGTGTTTTGAAGGGGTTTTGGGTCAAGGATTACAAGGAGAGTTACTCAAGCACCCCCACATGCGTTTGGGGTCATTTTTTCAGGGTTCCTTTTCGGTTTGTAAGGGCGGCAATGCTAAATTGCGGAGCCTGAAAAGCAACCAGAACCCGAAACAAGACGGACCCCCGTTGCCACTAAGGTTGGGCCACCCACCGGTGCTTGCAGCTCGTCTCAACATGTTCGGAGATTGAGTTTTGATATAGATGCATGCATGCACATGTATGCTGGCATGGACACACACACACACACACACTCACTCTCTCTCTCTCTCTCACGCTCCGTCTCCCTCTCCCTCTCCCTCTCCCTCTCCCTCTCCCCCTCTCCCTCTCTCCCCCTCTCTCTCTCCCTCCCTGGCTCCCTCGCTCCCTCGCTCGCTCGCTCTGTCTCTCTCTCTCTCTCTCTCGCTCTCTCCTTCTCTCCCTCTCCTCTCCCTCTCTCCCCCTCTCTCTCTCCGTCGCTCTCTCCCTCGCTCCCTCGCTCGCTCTCTCTCTCTCTCTCTCTCTCTCTCTCTCTCTCTCTCTCTCTCTCTCTCTCTCTCTCTCTCTCTCTCTCTCTCTCTCTCTCTCTCTCTCTCTCTCTCTCTCTCTCTCTCTCTCTCTCTCTCTCTCTCTCTCTCTCTCTCTCTCTCTCTCTCTCTCTCTCTCTCTCTCTCTCTCTCTCTCTCTCTCTCTCTCTCTCTCTTACCCGTCTTACCTAAATTTCCACGTACCTACACAAAAAACTCACCTCTGTATCTTTTGCATGCTCACACCAAACACCAGCACATATGGCGGTTTATGTGTCTGAGCCTTTGATTGCGCGCGTGTGTGTGTGTGTGTGTGTATGCATGTAATTCATATTCAGGTGTGTGGGCGTGCGTGTGTTTGCCTGTGTGGCTGTTAGTATACGGTTAAGCTCGTAACCTAGGAAGTTTCAGAAGACAGTGGGGCAGCGGTGTGGAAATTTTTGCAGCTATGATGTAGTGAGGAAGCAGTATCTCGCAAGTCGAAATGAAACACTGAATGCACACTGGGCTGCAGCACTCAAATCCGCAGCAGTGAAGTGTCTCAGGGTTTCGCTAGCATGTGCTAGTCTCGCAGCACCCTTGCGATATCCGTGGTAGTACCGAATAGGATTCCAATACAGTAAACCCCGTAAATGCAAACCGCCTTAACCAAAGCCCTAAGCCCAAGCCTTAAACCTCCTAAAGAGGACTCGGAGTTTGCAAGTTTCCCACAACTATCATCGCTTCAATCCCCTTAAACCCCTGGCGAAAAAGCCCCCTGAAACTCTACTCCCTAACGAGCCTAGTGTCGACCCTAAACCCCTAAACCCTCAACCCCTAAACCCCTAAGCTCCTAACGCCCAAAACCCCTAAACCCCCCCTAAACCCTCCCTAAACCCCCCCTAAACCCCTCCTTAAACCCCCAAAACCCTAAACCCCTAAGCTCCTAAACCCTAAACCACTAAACTCTAAACCCTAAAAGCCTAAACGCAGATCGCAGGTCACCTTCGACATGTACCCAGTGGAGGCGGGTCGGCTTGTAAAAGATAATGTAGGGGCCTTAATACCTAGAGTAGGGGTCCTTTAAAGGGTTCCTTAAAGGGGTCTGCAAGGGATCTATAGTAGGGTTCTATGGTGTAGGGGCCTTAATGATGAGAATAGGGTTTGGGGGGGTATATCAGATTATACTTGTTAATCCTAAACCCTAAACCCTAAACCCCATAAGCCGTAAGTTCCTTTTTTGGCTTGGAGAAAAGGAGCTCAACAAAAAACAAAACTAAGGAACTCCCAAAACCCTATTCTAACTGTTCAGGAATTGGCATGAGGGATTGCGTGGTTCACGGAGTGTACCCAGGTGCCCCCATGACTAGAACGATCTGCATGTGGAAGGTTGTCAAGATTAGGGTCCCTTTTTGGGTACCCTAAATATTAGGTGCCGTATGATATTAAGAACCCAAAAAGGATTCTAAGCTTGAACAACCACCCATGTGTGTTCTTTTCGGCTTTGGTTTATTTAGGGTTCAGGGTTTGGGCTTCTGGGTCACAGGGTTGCAGATTTAGGGTGAAAGCCGGCGGTTAGTCGGGTTTTAAGTTGTGGTTCGAAGATCTTTTGAAGCTATGAGCGCAGCTTATGCTTGAATTTGTAGATGTTTGGTGTTCACAGGTACTGTATCTATTAAATCTTGTTGGTCATCATCTTTGCATAAGTTCGAAAGCTTCTAGGGGAGCCTTGCGGAAGCCGCGTTTGCCCCGAGCCGGACATCCGCACAAGTCTGATTCGTTGATAGTATAGTATTGCTTTATAGTCGCCATGTAAGTATACTGAAAGAATGCCCGCAAAACCCGATTCTCTTTGGTGCTTCGTGGCCGGCCCGATAGCAAAGGAAGGAGCTAAGCTCATTCGCAGAACCAGACCCCTAAACCATAAACCCCAAGCCAGTCCGATCTTCATTCAGGGTTTACCCTCGACCCTAACCCCTAAACCCTTACCGGCGCAGGGCTCTTACAGAAGAGACAGGAAAAACCCTGAGTACTGAGTCTTAGGAATCGGGACACGATGTCAAGCTTGGGCACTGCGTGTTGCTGAATGGACCTTGTTCTACAATGTTCTACACCTACGTTTTCATTCTGAATTGCAGGCTGTCATCTTGTGTAGCGTTTAGGGTTTCGGATGCCCAGACCCAGAAACCTATTCAAAACTCCATAAAGCCCCCTCGAGGCCTCCAAAGACAAGACCGGACCAACCGTAAACGCTGAGCCCTACACCCTGTGTAGCAATACTTAGGACCCAGAGTAGGCCCTTATTCCCTTTTTAAGGGTTTAGGTTCCCTTATAACCCCCTTTATCCCAAAAAGGGCACCCTTTTTATTCCTAGGTTACTCTTGGGTCTAGATACCCTATCAGACCCAGCGAAAGCACGTCTGCGAAGCCGCAAAGAATCGGACGGCTCAAGCTTGGGTTCTTGTTGCGGATTTGAGTTTAAGTGACCATAATTAGGGGTCTATAGCAACATATGGTTTCCTTATTATGGTAACAACTTCAATTAAATCTCTGACCAAGAACCCAGTCTATCGTAAGCCAGAACTCATACGGGACACCAGAAGCCCTAGACATCCCCTAAGCCACAAGGCAATGTAAACCCTAAGCCACCAAACAAGAATCAGGCCCAAAAACCTACCAAGACCGCCCCCCCTCCCCCAAAACCCTTCTTTTGTACCCCAAATAAGAAGGGCTCCATTAAAGGGCCATTGGGTGGTCCTGGTACAGACCCCAAGAAAGCCTAATGCA